GAGAAATGCGCAAGTCACTTTTGTAGAGAAACCACTGTGACAAAAATTGAGGCCTATTGTAATTTACGTTGTACCTTGTTCATTTAGTAATTACGCTAATCCTGTATTGTAATTAACCCATTCCATGTACGAAGATATATATATATATATATATATACATATATATATATATATATATTGATAGATTAATACATATATAGATAGATAGATTGATAGTTAGATAAATAGATAGATAAATAGATAAATAAAAGGATATATGATGGATAGATAGGTAGATCAGTATACAAAGGAAAAATATAGTTCTTAAAATGATATGTTTATTTTTAAAGAATATATTTTTATGGTTGAATATCTCTGCATTACTGCATAAAGTATCAAATTCTAGTGAACAATCCCATTAAATTATATGCATCAAAGTTGTAAGTAATAAAATATGATATCTGAGCTGAAAATTACATCATTTAACAAACATTTTCCTCACAGTGTGTAATAATAACAAATCTTTTATCTTGCTGCAAACTTTAATATGAGCAGAAAATGCAAAATAGATGCGGAGATTTACTAATAATAACTAATAATTATATTATGACTCTGCTTGAGAAAAAAAAAACACTTGCCAAGTAAAAATATTAATTTAACAAATGTTTAAATTTAGAACTTACATTGGACGTTAGTTATCTTTAAATGACATTAAAGGCTTTCTTTATTGTACTTTCTCAATAAGCAATAAAAATAATGATAAAAGTAAAAATGATAAGTGTAGTAACAATAATAACAATAATAACAATAATGATAATAATGATAATAATGATAATAATGATAATAATGATAATAATGATAATAGTAATAATAATAATAATAATAATAGTAATAATAACCTAATATTCTCCTTGGCCCAATCAGTTAGGTTTCCACAAGATAATTCTTCCTCAGCTCTTTCAAGTCTGGAGATTAAACTGAGCAACAGCAGTACAACCTATATTACATGCGAATTTAGTACATAAAGTATAATTAATCTGTACAACCTAGTACATCCGTATTAAGTACATAAAGTACAATTAATCTGTTCAACCTATATAAACACGTACTTATTACATAAAGTACAATTGATCTGTACAATGTAGTACATACGTATTAAATACTTAAATCATACCATGTACACACAGTTTTTTAGAAATTTGGTACAATATCTAGTACATAATATTTAAAGACATTTTTTACAATTAACAATTTATAAAGTAAAGCTAGTATATACTTGATGGTATATATTAAATCCGACCTTTTATAACTATAACAGGGATAAATGGATTTCTTTATTATTTTCCAATTATCAAAATTGTTCCAAAACCTCATATTATACTATACAACTCTTCCAGATAAAAAATAAATTGGTGGAAGATAAAAATGCATTTTAAAAAACATTCTAAACATTTTTAAAAACATTTAAACATTAAAAAAACATTCTAAACATTTAAAAAAAAACATTTTAAACATTTTAAAAAACATTCTAAACATTTTTAAAAACATTCTAAACATTAAAAAAACCTTCTAAACATTTTAAAAAACATTAAAAAAAAAAACATTCTAAACATTTAAAAAAAACATTCTAACCATTTAAAAAAATAAAGAATCACACTAAAGCTGCGAGGTTACCCACACTCGGAATACAAATTTGATTGTCTTGAATATGACGATCTGAAAGATGAATTTAAACAATTACAATAAATGATTTGGCAAAGATATAATCAAGTGTAAAACCAAAGAGATCCTTGTCTCGATAATCTCATCCTTTATGGTTTTAACAATCCCCTGAATAGTTCCTACCTTCTCCAGCTCTGAGAGGAATAGAGAATATTTATCAAGATCTCTAGAGTCTAGAGTCTCCTCCAACCTTCTCTGTATTTCTTGACCAGTCTTCTCATTCTCTAGGATCTCCTGCAGAAAAACTCATAAAAAATTACGTTTTAAAAAAACCTAATTTTCAAATTTTATATTTTTTCAAACTTTACCTTGATCAGTTTCTCCTTCTGTTGTTTGATTGTTGCAAGCTGTCTTTGAACCCCGCTCTCTACTGAGGTTTGACAAAGATCAGATTCCTGAACCTCCTCTTCAACTTGATCAACATCAACCTCATCAGCTGACCCCTCAGCCTCGTCCTCACTCCGGATTTGGAAATATTTAACTTTTTCTAAAACCTTCGAGTTTTTTCTTACGCTCGGTTCCTCGAGTTCATCGAGCTCTTCAAGTCTCATGGAGGAGGAGGAGACGATAGAGCTGCTTCTTTTCTGTCCAGTAAGCAGCTCTTCAAGTTTAGTGGAGCTGTTTGAAACAATACTGCTGCTCCTTACACTGGAACATCCTGATCTAGTCCCTGCACTGCCTCCAGTGGTCCAGGAGCTTAAGCTGCTCAAACCAGAGTCGCTCCGACTATGCAGCTCTGGGGATGTGAACTCGGAGATAAGCCTAGGAAGCTCCGTGCTGGAAAGCTGCTGTTTTATAAACTCTGGTTTCTCCATGTCTCGTTTAGGTTCAAGCAGCTCCGGCTTAGCAAACAAAGCAGAGTTGTCCATGACGATAAACTGGTCTGAGTTGGGAGATCCTATCATGGAGATTTTTTGTTTGGGTTTAGGAGGGAGGGGAGGAGGATCATCAAACTCAAAGGAACCTGTATCTCTGGCAAGCTCGTTATTAAAATTTCTGAAAAGTTCTGGTTTCTCAAAACTGGGTTCCATCAAGGATTCTGAACTTTCAAACAATATTCTTGAGGAAGAGTCGGGTTCAAAATCATCATTAGAAGTATCTACTCTAGCTTCAAGATCTGAAGAAGAAGATACTTGGGAACCAGGTTCTGTTCTTGGTTGGGAAACTGGTTCTACTCTGGGTTGGGCAACCGGTTCGCTCAGGGTGGGTTCGAAAACAGCAGCCAGTGCCAGGTTCTTGGAGGAAATCCTTCTCCGCTCTCGGATAAGGTTTGCCTCCTCCTGGGTTAGGTTTACAGAGACAGATCTTCCTGTATTTCGTCCCAGGAATTTTTGCCATCCAGGAGCAGCACCTTTACAGACATTTCAATCAATGAACCATAAATTTAAAAATCAAGTAATCAATTCTAAATAAAAATTTACTATTTTATCTTATAAAAGATTATAGAAGATAAAAGTGATCGTCTAAACAAAAAAAAATTCACTTGATCAGAGCATCCAATGGACTAATCAATTGAATTGATCACAAAAAAATCAATTTGAACCTACCCTGTGAAGCAGCATGCCTGGATGGTGAGGAAGGTTCACAAGGCAAGGATGAATTCATCTCCTTCTCTCTTCTTCTCCTTTCTTCCGTCTCTCGGAGTCTCTTGTCTTTCTTCTCCTGTCTCCTATCTCGCTCCGACCTGTGTATACACAAGTATAGAACTAGTCAGCTGTTATGCTGTTCTAGTACAGCTGTTCGGCACCAGGTGTTAAAGGATTTTTACCGATATACCACCGAGTACGAGGGGGGGGGGGTATCCAAACCCCCTGATATTTGTTATTTACTGATATGTTAAGTGTTGTGTAGGATTTAGTAAACTAATTTGTCCAGTATTATTGCAAGAGTAGTTAGGGAGGTAATGTTATCTTCAGATGATTCATCATCTGTAGCTTATATTTATGAATATATAGCTTAATTGCAGGGGAAAGAAATAATGCTTGTTAAGGGGGGCGGGTTGCTATCTTAAGGAAATATTTAAATTCCTCCACTTAAAAAAGATCTAAGGGTTCATATTCTCATTATTTGTCCATTAAACTTTTGTATCAAATTCAAATTTTGCATGTAATAGACATGTATATGTAATCGCTGAGATATCACTTCTAATTGTAGANATCTACAGATTATTGAACCCCTGGATTTATATATGGCACATGTCGACTTATGAAGAAGGGTAGTGTGGGGGGTGGAGGGGGTGGGGGCAAAAGAGGGATTTTGTTTAAATTAGACATTTTATTAATATTCATGCATATAATTCATGTCCACATTGGAAAAAAATCCGTTGTGAAACCTCTGGAGAATTAACTAAAGTAGCCAAATAAGATTTTTTTTTTCCATACTGAGTCAGGTTTTCCAACCTAGCCCTATATGTATATGTATATATGTACTGGTTTGCCCGACCGTATCTAAATAATGACCGAAAACGATATTTAATGTATCGTATTGAATGAAGAAAAGGGTAGCTAGCCTAATAAAGTACAGAGAGAAAGTGCCCTGACTGAAAACGCAAACCCTGATTCTCGAGTTCATTTCGCCGGGGTAATTTGCAACAATTTTGCATTACTGTATTATTTAATATTTTGCACAGATAAGGTCTAATAATCAAATAAAGTATAAATGAAAATAAAGAGAAATCAGTGGCGCTCTGCAACTTGACTGATTTTTTATTTTTGTCTACATTTTTATTTAAAGTGCTGCATACGTTTTCATAATGACAAAATCGGCAAAATGCAAAATAAAAATATACAATTAAATGAATACAAAAATATAAATTTGTTCAAATACACAATAATATAAATTAATGTTATAATAATATAATCTAAATTGTGTTTAAAAAAAAAAATTATGTAATCAATATAGTAAAAAAAATAAGCTTACAAATATTTATAGTATATAAATATGTTAATATTTGTAACGTATACTATAAATATATAAATATTTGTAATATGTAAATTGAAAAATAGTTAAAATATAAAAATACATTAATATGTATGATTATTACCTTCTGTAACTTGATAGTCGTTTTAATGTATTGTTTGAAGGAGGAGGTGGAAATGATTCAATCGGCGATGAACATCTTGGTGGAGACAATCTTGGGGGCGGCGGAGGCGAGGGCGATAGAGATCTATAGTTTGGATTCACTGTGATGAACGGCGAATGTTTTTTAACCGGTTTCTGTGGTTCCGCCCTTTGAACCATCTCAGCCGAACCTTGACGTTTCGCAGAATACGAATCTTGAAAAACTTTTAGTTTTTCTAGAGCCTGATTTTTCTCCGAAACCAAGCTATCCCTGGACTGGGAGCTCCGTAAGGATGGTTTCTCACAGAAGTTCTTAAACTCTCCTCCTTCCACTTTATTAATAGGAGAACACTCAACCCTCAGGGTTTCACAATTGCTCCAGCACTCGTTTAAATGCAAACTAGATTTGGGTGGTCGCTGGGGGGCGGGCAATCGGGCGGCCCGGGCAGGCGGGGTAAGGGAGGGATGG